GCCTCTGGTAGAGGACCCGAGTTCAGAGGCTGAAAGAGACCACCCGCTGAGGGTGAGAAGGGATTTTTTTATATATAGTATATGATTTAGCCAGGTAGATCTCCCTTAAATTTAGATTTTTATGGGAGACTTTAAAGTGTCCCTTAAAAGAGATTTTAAGGTCTAAATTTTTTTACCTACACATATTTATTCCACTCAATTAATGTGTGATTTATATATTTTCTATTATAAGTTTTATATCGTGATATATATCGTTACCGCCACTCATCATAATATATATCATGATATGAATTTTTTGCCATATGGCACATTCCTAATCAGCATGTGAATATTTAAAATGTTACCAATTATTTTAATCCTTGAGATGAATTACAATCAACCTACTTCCAATGTGTTAACATTTTTAAGACTTATGAAAGATTGATTTATGACATTTTAAGACAAATTAAGGCCTTATTTTTTGATTGATGAATTCAATGACTTTTAAGACTTTTTAAGGACCTGGTACAAAAAACAGCAACCACTTTAAACCATGTAGAGTGATGTACACGTATTATAGAACAGTAATCTTCATATTCCATAATCTGTCATTACTCAGATCTTGGGATTCTTGGACAAAGTCAGATTTATTTACAATTTAATTTGCAAAACAGAGTATATGGATACTTTTGAGAGATGGATCGGCTCTGTGTAGATCAATACAACAACTCTGAAAAACAAACAGGTACAAACATTAGAAGGATTTGGTCACAAAGCAGGGGTAGACGTAACCATTGTTTAGGTTGTCCGAGACAACATATAGTCATTTCAGACAACCAGATCCAGCCTCCTGGTTGTCCGGTGGACAATCAAGAATAAAAGACATAGATTAAAGTTCTCTGCTGTGGGTGTTCGTCATTTGTAAAAATGAACGGGAGAAAAAACTTGGTAAAATCAAATAGAATAAACTGTAACTTTTAACAAGGTCATGTACACAGTATACTCCTATTAAAGTGAAAATGTTTGGCCTATGAGCAGAAAGAAGCTTATGAATGTTGAACTCTATTTCAAAGAAGAGAATGAGGAAGTTTTATTCACGCAGATCCTGTCAACCTGCTGACTGAGAACAATTATATGTTACAGCGGGTAAAACAAGTATTGAACGCGTCACCATTTTTCTCAGTAAATATATTACTAGAGGTGCTAATG